ACATTGTTGGGATTCTTATAAGATACTGATTAATTTGAATATAAACATGCTATAATTTGCACTAGACATAAACAATTTAGTACCGTAATCAAATTAGTACATGTACACTCCAGTTTTGCACTAAGTTCATTTATTTCTTTTTACGCTTTTTAGTATAGTGTGTGCATGTAAAAGGATGAAAATAAATGAAGAAATTTATGTAAATCTACACAAAAATACAGTTAAAAAAATTATATTATAAATGTACTACAGTACTGTACACTAATGTACAACAATTTTTATCTCTTGAGCAAAATCTATGACGCGATATTCAAATTATTGGCTGTCTTGCAAGGATTCCAGCAATATAAATTATAATCTCCTAATTTGTCTTGAGATATTATATAAGATAAATACTGCCTAAAACCCTGGCTGGGAGGGACAGAGACAGCCAGCCAGCGAGGGTGGAGGGTTGAGGTTATATGTTTGACAGTTTGAGCCGAAGGTCTTGTGTGTTTATTTAACAGTCCTACTAAGCCTTCATTTTAAAATGTCAGTGAAATGAAATGGGAGAATAAAATTAACATTGCTGGGATTCTGTACGATATTGATTAATTTGAATATAAACACGCCTGTATCTTGACTAGACATAACTTTTACTGTAATCAAATTAGTACATGTGCACTCCAGCTTTGCACTAAGGTCATTTATTTCTTTTATCGTTTCTTTTAGTATGGTGTGCATATAAATGAATGAAAATAAATGAAGAAATTTAAGTAAATCTACCCAAAAATACAGTTGAAAATCTTTATATTATAAAATGTACACTAATGTACTACAATTTCTATCTCTTGAGCAAAATATATGACATTTATATTCAAATTAATCTCTGTCTTGCAAGGATTTCAGCAATGCAAATTATATTATATAGCCTGAGACGTTATATGAAAAATTTAAGGTCTAAAACCCCCACGCGAGGGAGGTGGTGGGGGAGGAGGGAGGTGAGGCGATATGATTTGACAGTTGGCGCTGAAGGCTCTGTGTTTATTTATCATTCTTAAGAGTGACTAAGCTCTTCTCATAATTTGCCACCCAAACGACCTGGGTGAATATAACTTATATTGCTGGGATTCTTGTAAGATAGTGATTGATTTGAATACCTGTATAAACAAGCTATATTTGTAATAGACAGCAATTTAGTACCATAATCATTTAGTGCATGTACAGTACAGGTCTGCACTTAGGTCCATTGTTAAATGAGGGACCACTGTATTGCAGTGTACTTGTACTGTACAATATTGACTAAATTCACTAGATAACACACACAACTAATGGTTGAAAACTTGTCAAGTAAGTGATGTCAAGTCTGTCAGTATGAGTGGTATGTGTGAGTGCTTGTGTCCCCATCATAGGAGTCCGTTTTCCTCGCTTCAGGGTGCCTGAGTCCTCCGTTTTCTCTCAATCTTAGAGTGCACCAGAGACTTCGTTATTCCTAGTGATGACACAGAATTTGAATTAATCCCAATTGCAACTGGGGTAATTGTTGAGTCAACTAGATATGTCTGATTACAGCAAATGTGTTATTGGCAATTTGTAGGTGAAAGATTTTATCCTCAATAGATGTAGGTTAACATTACACCTGGAGGCAAATACTTTACAAGCCAAGGAAGGATATCTTTAACACATAATATCTGGCCATTGGGAAGGATCATCGTGTCACCGCTAGGGGACGGAGTGGTGGTCCAGCAGTGTCACGGAAGTGTTTTTTGGGGAACGATACAGTATATGCGACGGACGTTGTTCGATTGGACGTTAACCGGGCATGACTGTATATATGTATATATATATATATATATATATATATATATATATATATATATATATATATATATATATATATATATATATATATATATATATATATATATATATATATATATATATATATATATATATGGTATGTCTGTTGTATATATATATATATATATATATATATATATATATATATATATATATATATATATATATATATGTACATATAATTCCCGATTTCTACTTAATTATCGGGACTTACTTAATCACAAGAGATTTTTTATTTATTTTTATTTTATTTTATTTTTTAAATGACACGCATTTTCTATACCGAAACGTTTCCAGTTAATGTAGTCTCCATGTATAATTAGAAAATTATGGGGGCCCCATGTGCATTCAGCTGACTACATTAAAGGTAATTGCTCAGTCACACTGTAACCATTCCTTATTATTTATTACTTTCACTGTACTGTATCCATTCCTCATTATTCATTACTTTTACTGTACTGTATTTCATTGTAGATTATTTATTAAAAAAAAAAAAAAAAAAATTGAAAAAAAAAAAAAAATGGCCACAACTGTGGCGGTCGTAAGTCCCGCTGGTCATAAGTCGAAGCAGTCATAAGTCGGGGTGTAGCTGTATATATATAGTCATGCGCCGGTTAACGTCCTAGATACGTTCTTGGAAACGTGACGTTAACCGAAATGAACGTTGTCTGAAAGTACAGAAACCTATGGGATTTATTCTAATTGGTTCCAGGCACCCAACCCCAAGTTTCCCATTTTACAACCATTTGGACCCACTAAATATATATATAATGTTATGGTAAATATCATAAACACACATAGGCATGGCTAGGTTTATTACAAAGTGATGAAAAGGATACGCTTAATACTGTACAATGGGTAGTCCACAAAACATGTAGCCATGTCTCTTTATTTGAGTGCCCCGTCATAGGAGTCCGTTTTCTCTCACTTCAGGATGCCTGAGTCTTCCGTTTACTCTTAATCTTAGAGTGCAGTGCACCAGAGACTTCGTTATTCCTTAGTAATGACACAGAATTTGATATTGCAACTGGGGTTGCAATTGTTGAGGCAACATAGATATGTCTGATTACAGTTGGAATATTCAAGATCCATTGTGAGTGATAGTTTAAAGCTTCAACTATCTTTATGGTTGGTAAAACTTGTCAAGTCTGTCAGTCTGAGTGGCATGTGTGAGGCCTTGTGTTTGTACAACCGCTTTCATTTAGGCCCACGAAAGATATAATGTTATGGTAATTATCAGAAACACAAATAGGCATGACTAGGTCTATTACAAAGTGATGAAAAGGATACGCTCAATACTGTACGGTGGGTAGTCCACAAAACATGTAGCCATTATCTCTTTATTTGAGTGCCCCGTCATAGAAGTCCGTTTTCTCTCACTTCAGGATGCCTGAGTCTTCCGTTTTCTCTTAATCTTAGAGTGCAGTGCACCAGAGACTTCGTTATTCCTTAGTAATGACACAGAATTTGAAATTGCAACCCCAATTGCAACTGGGGTTGCAATTGTTGAGGCAACTAGATATATCTGATTACAGTAAACGTGTTATTGTCAATTTGTAGCTGAAAGATTTTATCCTCAATAGATGTAGGTTAACATTACACCTGAAGGCAAATGCCTAATGAAGGAAGGATATGCGATCGGACGTTGTTCGGTTGGACGTTAACCGGCGCATGACTGTACAGTATATATTATATATATATTTACAAATATATATATATATATATATATACATACATATAGTATTACCCCGCTTTACGCGGTTTCACTTAACGCGATTTCTCATATGCGCGGTGCCTCGCCAGAACCGAACTTTCACTTAACGCGGTTCATCTACTCTTATACGCGGTGAAGTATAATATAATTTTTTTTTTATTTAGCTCATAAAATTCATACAAATTACCCAGCCAGAATATAATTTACATTGCTGGAATTCTTACAATATAATGATCATTTTAAATATAAACATCATAGATTTTGTATTAGACATACAAATTTTAGATATAATGTTTACTCTGAGTAAATATGTTATCTTTTGTGCAAAATATATGACATTTATATTCAAAATATTCCTGGTCTTACAAGGAATCCAGCAATTTCAATTATATTATCCTAACTTTAGTTTGAGGTATTATTTATTAAAATCTAGTGGTTTTCCCCCCAAAATTTCTCAGAGAGGGAAGAGCCAGCAGTGTAGTGTGAGAAGAGGGGAAGGGAGTTGAGTCCATTATTTGAATGGACATTAACTTGGCAAATGTATTTCTCTATTTCTCTTAAGTATTAATTGTGTGCATGTACCATCATAAATTAAGATATTATTTTTACTAGAACATAGGTATTGTGTTGGAAAAAGTAGAGTTTGGGGGTCGGGCCAGTCTCTACTGGAATTAATCCCATATGTTCTGTTGTTCCATTTACGCGGATTTCACTTAACGCGGTACCCTGTGGGTTCAATTGACTGCGTAAATCGGGGTACTACTGTATATAAATATATCACCAATTAAGGCTACTAGCTAGGTAGATGACTTGGTCTTATATGAAGCCAACAAAACATTGGTAGGTGAAAATGAATGCTTCAAGTGCGCTACACTGTAAGCATCCCAATACGGAAGTCAAATATGTGAAATTTTCTATAAAGTAAACAACTTACCTTATAAATTTCCCAATGCCATACAGCCTTTTGCAAGAGCCCTATATTCAAGTATCTATGCATGAAAGTCTTGGTCAAAGAGCACCTTTTCGTAAAACAGAAGTTTACGATATTTTTGGTTTACCATCCACTGCGACTTATAAGTTTAACACACTCAACAATGACCAAACACTAACATTAAGGAACTCCCTTAGCCCTTGGAATAATCATTTCTACTGTGTAGCCATTGTGGTAATGCAGTAATCTTTTTATCCCTTGTCAAAATCCAATCTCCATATTTCTTAATCATTATCCATGAATCTCATTCACCATGTAATAAAGTGTTCAAAACATCTAAGCAAATTCAAATACTAAGCTTTATTAAACCGCCCTCAAAAAAAAAAAAATTTCCCCAAGTTACATCATGAAAACAAAATTTCAACCAAACTTGAAATGCCAGCAATCAAAATTCGAAGTAGTTGACATATTAACCAATGGCTAGAAATAGTATTACAATGACCTCAATGCACTCACCTTTCAATAAGTGTACCATTATGTATCATCCATATGTCGCACATGCTACGAATAATAAGTGTTGCAGCTACCAGACCCAAGAAGCCTGATTCAGCAGTCCACAGTCCAGGCACCAGAATACGTAAAATACCTTTAAGGGATCTGAAAAACTCTCCATTGATCTGCAAGTAAAATAAAGTAAAAATATTTGTTTATATATAATAAGCACATAATATCAGGTAAATAAAAAAATTAAGAGGGTTGTGTGTGTGTGTGTGTGTGTGTGTGTGTGTGTGTGTGTGTGTGTGTGTGTGTGTGTGTGTGCTGTGTGGGGTGTGTGTGTGTGTGTGTGTGTGTGTTGTGTGGTTGTGTGGGTTGAGTGTGTGTGTGTGTGTGTTGTGTGTGTGTTGTGTGTGTGTGGTTGTGTGTGTGGTTGTGTGTGTGTGGTTGTGTGTGGTTGTGTGTGTGTGGTTGTGTGTGTGTGTGTGTGTGGTTGTGTGAGTGGTTGTGTGTAAGCAGTATAGTATTAGGTATAATATACACCATGGATGTATAAGTAGGAATATTCAATATTCATTATTCATTCACCGCCAGGGGTCAAAGATGTTGTTCAGAGGAGTAAGCATTTAACTTAGCCATAACAGCAGGTTTAGTCATGGACACTGGATTGCTGCTGTGTGTAATCCCCCCTCTGAGGTTCTTAAATACTGTATATATATTGTATATTTGAGGGCTCTTAATTTGATACTTAAGATGCTTTGCTTCACAAGTATTTAATATTATATGTAATTAGCTTATGTAGATATTTGCACCGTCAACTAGGGATGATTCATGGGTCAACGAGATCATTTCCAGCCAGTTATTTAAAAAACATAGCCGCAGTTCGGCTGACGTGAAGTCAGGTGTTTATACCAAGGAATTGACTCATAGCAACACTTCCTTCTTGGAGAACCTTCAAGAAGCTTGACTCATACATCACCCTGGTGGCATCTTTGTGAGTCCTCGGGCGCCACGCCCGAGGACATCAATCACTCTTTCGCTGGACCCCACACAATACAGCTCTACCACTGAGTTTCGGTCCGAAACCTCCTTCAGTACTACAATCTAACACTAAGTCCACCTCAGTACTAGAACGCCTAACATTGAACCTACTTCAGTACTAGAGCAATAGGCCAGCTTTCTCTGTACAGTAAAGCCTCGAATAATGATGTTAATGTGTCCTCCAATATTGCAGTGTCAGGTGAATCGTCTTATCGCGAATCATTAATTACCATTAAAATAAAGCAATAATAATGAGATGTGTTCTCAAGTGTGAACTTTTCATATCTTTTGTGTGGCTTTTTACCCTCTTCCTCCCCCCCCAAAACAATACAATTAATGAAAATTGCAAACTATATACAGTCGACCCTCGTTAATTCGGACCCCTTTAATCCGGATTTTGGATAATTCGGACAAAATCTGAACGAATTTATTTATTTATTTATTTATTTATTAATTTATTTATTTTTTAAGATTTGTAGGAATATTACCTACGCGGACCTTAAGCTAAAATGCTGGTCCACCCACTGCTGGGATAAAACACCAGCGTCTTTTTGGTCAAATGTAACATCTCCACCACTAGTGTGGGGGGGGGGGATGCAACTTTTAGCTTCAGACATGAAAAATATTTACCATTTACTGCCAGTAAACAATGAAAACGTAAATTATGTACCAATTAGTCATGAAAAGTTGTGCAGTTCCTTCAGCAAATGAAGCTCACCAGCTTACAATAGGCTAAATTACCTTACAACGTACTTTCAGTAGTCTATGTTGAAGTTCTTAGCACAGGCTAACTTATCATATCATATACGGTATCACAGTTCTCATTGATATACAAAAAATACCGGAAATAAAAACCTTTTCGATATTTCACACTTAATATAATACTCGGTAATCTACTTCAACCTCCTATTGTTTACAACGACGCATGACGCATCACCAGCTGTTGTGTGTATCAGCTAGACGGTACACATGTTTTTCGAATAATTTTCAGTTAAAAAACTGTTACATCACATGTATATTTTACCTTAACTGTGCCTGAATGAATATATTCTCGGAAATAAATAATAGTTTTGCTGAAACGTGATGTATTTCAATGTAAAATAGGATAAAATACATGACGAAAACAAAAGATTTTACCTAACCTTCCGATGTTCAAGAGAAGTTACTCGTTTTTTTAATAGTTTTTGGTTAAAATATTGTTATATTACAATGGTATTCTATTCATACTGTGCTTGATATAATGCATTCACGAAAATGTAATATTTTTGCTGAAATGACGTACGTATTACAGTGGAAAGTGGGATAAAATCGTGACGAAACCAATGACTTTCGCTTTCTTTCATTCAAAACATGTTACCGGAATCGCTTTTCGAATGGTTTTCAGTAAAAAAAACTGTTGTATTACAATAATATTCTATCCTAATTGACTTGAATAAATACTACGATACCATATTTCTGAATATTTTCATTAAAATCCATCAAAATCATTTTCCATGTCATCGTCTACAGCACCAAACAGCTTCTCCCAGCCCTCTCCTTGAACAGGGCTAGAGGGTACGTGTTTTTCGAATCGTTTTCAGTTAAAAAACTATAACATCACACGTATATTTTACCTAAACTGCGCCTGAATGAATATATTCTCGGAAATAAATAGTAGTTTTGCTGAAACGTGATGTATTTCAATGTAAAATAGGATAGAATACATGACGAAAACAAAAGACTTTACCTAAGCTTCCGATGTTCTTGTGATGTTACTCGTTTTTTTAATAGTTTTCGGTTAAAATTCTGTTATATTACAATGATATTCTATTCGTACTGTGCTTGATATAATACATTCACGGAAATGTAATATTTTTGCTGAAATTACGTACGTATTACAGTGGAAAGTGGGATAAAATCGTGACGAAAACAATGACTTTCGCTTTCTGTCGTTCAAAAGATGTTACCATAATCGCTTTTCGAATGGTTTTGTTAAAAAACTGTTGTATTACAATAATATTCCCTCATAATTGACTTGAATAAATATTTGAATGGAAATATACAATATTTTTGTTGAAACTACCCGCGTTTCAGTGTAAAGTGTCATAATAATAAATGGTAAACAATTTGCCTTCGGCACTCGTGTTTCAGGCATGGCGAGCCTCAGTTTGTAAGACGTAGAGCATTTTTACTGAAGATTTTGTTGTTCCATTACCCTAAAAAACGTGGGTCAAACTATAAACAAGGAATATCATAAATTAATGATTTCTTGGTCAAAAAATCAGGGTCGACCTATAAACGAGGGGGGTTATAGACGAGTATATACGGTATATATATATATATATATATATATATATATATATATATATATATATATATATATATATATATATATATATATATATATATATATATATATAGATATATATATATATATATATATATTTCATGTAAATCCACAATGAAAACGTGGATAAGATAAATCTTGATAAAATCACACGGGAAAATGGAAACAACGGAGTACCTTAGCTTTCGTCTTTATTCAAGACATCTTCAGAGGCAACTAGATTACATGGACAGAGAGAGGCTTAAATATACAGGGTGACCAAAAAACATGAGGTCAGGTCATAATGATGACATCCACTAATCCCCACACCAACACAACCGTAGAGGAGCTTAAGAGAAGGGTGGTGACGTGACTAGACAGGTCAGGTCAGAAAAAAGGGACCCACAAAATAACTGTCATACATCAAGATCAAAGGTTTTCAAAGCATTTTTAACCTTGGGCCACTGACAAATAAATTTATGTAACATATTATCAGTTTTAAACTGACCATCACTAAGGTTTATTGATTTTAATTCCTTAATCAAACTAGCTTCAACCAGAAGTCTTTCTGTGACACAAGATGATTTGAATACTTCTAAGCTTTTTTCCCAAGCAATGGGTGATTATTATTCCTAACATGAACGAACAAGGCACTGCTTTCAGATGCAGTTCTGATATTATACTTATGTTGTTTGATTCTGAGCTGCAGTGTTTTTCCTGTCTGACCTACATAATTACAATTACATTGGCTACATGGAATACAATAAACACTTCCATTTACATTCAAACTTGGGCTATTCCTTATTAACATATTGGTAATGGTTGAGTCATACTTGAAAACAACATTAATATTTAAAAGCTTGAGGGACCGAACTAAAGGGACAAATTCATCACGATAGGGCAGAGTCAAAATATTCTTAAGTGTAGGAACTTGTCTGGTTACAGAGGAATGAAAGGATTTTTTAGCCCTTTTAAAAGGGCTAAAAATCCTTATTCAATCTTTAAAAAGCAATAAAACTTGTTCCTATATATATATATATATATATATATATATATATATATATATATATATATATATATATATATATATATATATATATATATATATATATATATAATCTACATAAATTATATATATATATATATATATATATATATATATATATATATATATATATATATATATATATATATATATATATATATATATATATATATATATATATATATATATATATATATATATATATATATATAGAGTGAGTTCTGCTTATAACGCGTGTTTTGACAGCTAATTTGCTCTACGCGATTTATGAATTGAGGAGCGATATTTGTAAAAGCATAAACTCATTGCTAACTCTAGCGATTCCACTCGAGCGGTTGTTATGGCTTCATTTCACGTTGACATCATATGTTCAATTGAGTTATGTGTTTTGTTTGTGAACAATTGCAGAAATAATATATGTAATATTTATGTATACAGTATACCTATACAGTGAGTTCTGCTATATGGCGTGTTTTGACAACGAATTTGCTCGAA